TACCTCTCAACGAGTTAAATACTCCTTGCTTTAGCGAATCAATAGCCATTAACATCCTTTTCTCCTTGAATGCAGAAATATTTTTGTGTCACTCCATGCAAGAAGGTGTTCGAATCCATAAAAAAGGCTGTGAAATCTCTATACCGTCATCTATCCTTACGTATGAGTAAAAATTCTATTAGAACCTTGGATCGTGTGAGGTTCTTTAAGCTAACAAGGAGCAATGAAAATTCCAAACCATCCTACTTGCTATAATGCTTGACTCAGAACATTCTGAACAATACGAGAATACAATTCCTACTTTTTGTGTATATCTTTGAACACCCAGCTCACATACTACATGTTGAGTACGCGTTCACTCGGAACGCCCCGAGCCGTGCGAGGTGTTCTGAACTGCACAATTGGGGAGGAGGGGGCAGTGATGGTATTTCACTGACCCCTTGAGCTATCAAAACACCCAACATGGTGGGGGTGCGCACATGATAGGGTGCTCTGATAAGATTCCTAGGCCTACATGTTATCTTAGAATTTGTACTATTTGCACTTTCTCTATGCGTATTTCTTTGTATGCACATAAATGACATTTTTATAATTATATAAAGTATCATACACAAGGATCTATGACATTAAATGTGCATCAACTAGATGTGAGTTATTGAATTACTATATTTTAAAATTCATGCATTGATTCAATGATTGACATGTTTTAGATGTACATTTAACGCCATGAACCATTAGGGTTGGGCGGGGGCTGGGTCGACCTGCGAGCTGACTCGGCCCATAGGTTATGACTTGGCCCAGTCCGTAGTAGCCCGGACCCGGCCCGACCCATGATATACCCAAATCACGCACCGAGCTGGGTCCAACCCCAGACCCGGAATCAAAGAAATAGGTCCGGCTCACTATGGCCTTGCTCACGCCCAACTCGGCCTGATCCGACCTGCCCCGATCCATGATATATTTTTGGTTAGATTAACTGGTCCTTTAGCCCTTTGAGTTTGCAGCTAGCCGCTAACAAAGCCAAAGACCATAGCCATAGGTATTTGACTTGTGAACCTTTTCACCTGTTAAGAAATAAAGCAGCGATTTTTAACCCGGCATTCTCGTGTCTATGTACATTTTCTAGACTCTTTCAGCTC